AAATCTGTCTCCCTCTCTTAGACTGCATCAGGAGATACAATCTGTAACCCCCCTGAGAACTGTCCTCCAGCACCAGGGCAGGGAGCTCTGGACTCCCATGCCCTGTGGCTCTGCAGACCTGAGTGGGGTTTAAAGTGGTAGGAAGTTCCGGGGCTCATAAGAACATAAGAATGGTAAGACAAAAGATCCATTTTGTTCAGTAAGCTGTCTTCCTACAGTGGCCAATGTTAGGTGCCTGCAGAGGGAATGAACAGAACACCCAGGAGTGTCCTGAGGCTGGCTGCAGCAGCTGGCACCCCAGGTGGAACACACAATCGGCGCCCCCACCTGCACGGCCATCAATGGTCGTGATGTCATCATTGGGCGCCCCGGGCACCCCGTTGAAGGTGGCACGTTAGGCGACCACCGAGTCTGCCTATACTCACGGGCCGCCCCTGAGAATACCTAATCATCAAGTGATCCCATCCGTTGCCCATTCCCAGCTTCTGACAAACAGAGGCTAGGGGCACCAATCCTACCCATCCCAAAGATAGACCTATCCTCCATGAATTTATCTAGCTCTTTTTTGAACCTGGTTAAAATCCTGGCCTTTGCAACATCCTCTGGCAAAGAATTCCACAGGTTCTGTCTTGCATAAAGAAGTACTTAATTTTGTTTTAAATTTGCTACCTATTAATTTCATATGGTGACCACCTAGTTCTTATGTTATGGAAAGGAGTAAATAACTTTTCCTTATTCTCTTTCTCCACACCAGACATGAGTTTATAGACCTCTGTCATATCCCCTTGCCTCAGTCTCTTCTTTTAGAAGCTGAAAAGTCCCAGTCTTTTTAATCTCTCTGCATATGGCAGCCATTTCAAACACCTAATATTTTTTGTAGCCTTTTTCTGAATTTTTTCCAATGTAAGATATCTTTTTTGAGATAAGGTGACCACATCTGTTCACAGTATCCACACTACAGAAGCACAATTTAAAAGGATCTGGGCAGGGATACCACCATTTTAAGTCCACTGGGACTCAGGGTAATTGCCTCTTTTGTTGCTCACTCCATCAGTGGGCCTGCTCACCACAAGCCATGAAATGGACTAGTTGCCTAAAACAGTCTAAGTTTTGATTACCTCTAAAAATGCTATGTTGCTTGAGAAAAAGCATGGTTACATATGCACTCCACAACTATTCTTCTACCACTTCTGCAGCTCTTGGTTTGGAGTTCTGTAATAATCTGTTTTGCACACATCCAGCAGTACACATCACTATAAACCACCATTTGTGGGTTAAAAACATTTTCATTCCTGTTTAGATTCTGTCTTGGTCAGTATGGCCTGATCTATACTAGACCATGGAGATAGGCTCAAGGTATGCTGTGATTCGGCTTATCTTAAGTCAAGCCACCATGGCCTTCACACTATGGGAGGCTGATGAGCACGCACACTCTTGTTGGCTTCCCTTACTCTTTGCAGAATGAATACTGGATGCCAGCTGAGGGCTGCCCTCAGCATTTGATTTGGGATCTGCATTAGACCTAATAAATCAAACATTAGAAGATCAACCTCTGGAGGGTCAGATCTGCATTAGACCTAATACATCAAACATTAGAAGATCAACCTCTGGAGGGTCAATCTTTCTCTGTAGTGTAGACATGCCCTATATGTGTCTGAGGGGAAGAGAGTAGGATAGGACATTTCTTTTGCTCTCAAATGAAACATGTATCGATTAAAACCCCCAATCTCCAGCATGCAACATCTCCCCCTCCAGCAAGATTGGTGGGAGATATACCCTTGTGTCATATTCCCCCATCTGTAACACTGAAGAGTTGATTTTACTCAGCTGAATTGATGTGGATTCTTCTGCTGTATCATCCCCCGCCTGAAGAGGACCTGGAGTAAGATCAGAGGCCAGATCTAGAAGTTGTGAGCATCTGCTCTACCCTCAGCTGAGATTGGCCTCAGCCCTTAGTCACCCATGCACATTGTCTAGTACCTTTGCAATACCAAAGCATATTCAGGAGCTCCAAGTCTGAAATACTGTTAACCTCCTGGTCCAGCTCCTCATAGAATGGGGGTGTTCTAGCAGAGTTACCAGAGCAAGACTTGTGGTCCTTTGTCCAGTTGCACAGGTTCTTCACAGAGTTTCCTTCCTTGGCAGAGATCTAATGATGTAGATTCCAGTTAGCTTTCTGGCTGTATCATCAAGATACATCCACCCCAGACCCACTTGCTATCCTCACACCACATGCTCACAAAAACTTAGTCTCAGGCCACTAACTCACCTATTGGGAAGTATGCTCTCCCAGAATATCAGTGTGGATTTTTTAAATCAAAGCAATTTAAAACACTGATTTTAATCATTATTTAAATCAGCAAACAGGAACCTGGATTTAAATATTTTATTTCAGTTTTGTTTTTGCATGTGTACTTTTAATTCCCTTAAGAAAAAATGATTTTCATTGGTTCAGTATCTATTAAAATCTGTTGTTTGCAACTAAGTATAACCTTCACACTAACTTTCGTGTTTCTTTTGAATAACCTACACATAAATATATAGAGACATGTCAAGTTAAATAGCTTAACATGCATTTCTCCAGATTCAGAGTTTATATTTAGTATGTCAGAAATACTGAATGAATTTTTATTTACTAGATTATTTTTCACTAAAAATGCATGTGTCAGGATGCAGCTGGATGAAAACAAATTAAAATGCAGTGTTGTAAAACAGTTTATTATATAAAAATTACTAAAAGGAAACAACTGTAATTAAGTACTTGAATTGTTTCTGGTTACCCTATCCTCCAAAGATTTTGGACCTAGTAGATCTCATCCTCTGCTTTTAGTCACAAGTTCAGAGAAAAACTTCCCTGCTTTTTCAACTCCCAACTGGCTTCTTAATGAAGAAAATAGCATCTGCAGAAGAGGCTACTGCTATAAAAAGTTATTTTAGGACTTCAAAAAATTCTGGGTCCAGGTGCTTACCACAGTGACTTTAATTAGTTTAGCAGTTTGAATTTCAAAAAAGATCAGAAGCTACAGATATTTATTACTAGTACAGAAAACTGCATGCATGCTAAGATGGGGCCTGAACACCAAAGCAGACTATTTATACTGTCTGGAAGTAACTTCCAATCCAATATCAGGGAGTATAAAATTAGACAAAGGGCCCAGGAACCTTTGGGAAGAGAGGTTGGGGGAGGGGAGATGGAGACTAATCAAGTGGACCTTTTGCATTCACGCTGCATAGTTTGATTATCAGCAACACCTGTGTTCAACCTATACTCCACTCCTTAAAAAAAAGCCAACAACTACTAATTGTGTGGTAGCACTTTATAGACTAACAAAACATGTAGATGGTATCATGAGCTTTTGTGGGCACAGCCCACTTCTTCAGATGACCAGAGTTTTGAGTTTAGGATGTGCAGACCCAAAATAAATAGGAGAGAAGGTGGGAGGGGAGAGGAAAAAAAAAAGAGGAGGTGGGAGATAGGGAGGAGGGGAGAGGGAAAAAAAAGAGGAGGTGGGAGATAGGGAACAGAGGGTATAGAAAACTCAGGAAGGTAGAGGAAATCAGTAAGTATCTGAAGATTGGGTAGTTAAAATGAAGCAGATAAGAATCTAAGTCAATTGATAATATCCTTCCTGGCATAGAAATCTACACAAAGAGCAGTTTGCACCTTCATTTACTGTTAGGTAGATAGTGTCCTAACCATCCTTCATCAAGATCGAGTCCATTAGCATGAGAATTGAATTTACAGATTCATCACTGGAGCCAACAATATAAGCTACCAGATCAAAAGGTCATTTGACTGCACATCCAGTAATTTGATCTATGCCATCAAATGCCAGCAATGCCCCACTGCTATATATATATATTAGACAAACTGGACAGTCTCTGCAGGAAAGAATCAGTGGACACAAATCAGATATGCATTAAGGAAACATACAGAAACCTATTGGGGAACACTTTAATCTTCCTAATCACTGTTTAAAGATCTTCAAGTGGCTGTCTTGTCACAAACCAATTCTACTAGCCAGATACACAAAGCAGCATTAGAATTAGAATTCATCCGCAAATTCAATTCTCATGCTCATGGACTCAATCTTGATGAAGGATGGTTATGACAGTATCTACCTAACTATCAATGAAGGTGCAAACAGCTCTTTGTGTAGATTCCTACGCCAGGAAGGATACTATCAATTGACTTTGATTCTTATCGGCTTCATTTTAACTGCCCAATCTTCAGATACTTACTGATTTCCTCTACCTTCCTGAATTTTCTATACCCTCTGCTCCCTGTCTTGCACCTCCTCTTTTTTCCTCCCCCCCTTCTCATATTTATTTTGGGTCTGCACATCCTAAACTCAAAACTCCGGTCATCTGAAGAAGTGGGCTGTGCCCACGAACGCTAATACCACCACTCCATTTGTTGTTTTTTTCTGTACAGACTAACTTGGCTACCCCATGAAGCTTCTATACTCCTTAGTTTGCTTGATTTAAAGCACCATCACATGCAAGCCAGGATTTTTTATATGTAGCTAAGAATTGGGCTAGGGCAACCCTATAGCTATACAGGCAGTCCCCGGGTTACGTACAAGATAGGGACTGTAGGTTTGTTCTTAAGTTGAATTTGTATGTAAGTCGGAACTGGTACATATTGTAGGGGAAACTCTAGCCAAACATTTCTCCAGAGCTCAGTTTTATTCTCCCACACCTCACTTCCCTCAGTCCTTTATTCTCAAGCTGAGGTGTCTGCTGAGAAAAGCCGCTCCGTGTCTCCCTGGTTTGCTGGGGGGAAGCAGCTAGTGCGGGGTTGCCTCACCCCGTTTGTAAGTAGGGATCCGATGTAAGTCGGATCCATGTAACCCGGGGACTGCCTGTAATTTGCAGAGAAGGCAAGCTTTTAGTCAAGCATTGTTACTGTAAGCTGTTTAATCATGAACTGTGCGCTTACATTAGGATTGCCACTTAATGCCCCCATTTTCAGTTACAAAGCCAAACCAAGCAACTTCATTTTTCAAAACCATACTTTATTTTAAAGGCAACTAAGTCTTTCAGAACTATATTTATTAAGCAAAAAAGAATTCACATCTCTTTCCATTTTGCAGGGTTATTAGTATGAGAAATAAAGCATTTGTGTGTGTGTCTGTGTTATTTTTACATCTGTTGTTGAGTTCTTAAACAAGTTCAGATTTAATTAAAAAGTGACATCCATTATGGCTTAAGATATAGAATTACAAGATCACAAGACAGAAAAACTTTCAGAAGACCCAAAAATGACCAGAAACTAGTTATGATAAACTTTCCAACATGAGCAGGAGGCAATGTTTAGTAAAGACAAAAAACAAATGGAAGCAGCAAGTGTCTGCACTGTGTTAGTTCCAAACCAATTGAACATACCAGCAAAGACACATTGTTCCAAGGATATCCATGCTGTAACTTCACAAAGTGTTAAAGATATGCACTTTTCTCCTACTTATCCCAAACCTGAAGAACCATGAATTGAACTCAAGTGTTAACTGGAATAGCATTAACTTTCTTCTTAATATCAAGATGGAAGACTGGGTGTCTGTGGTAGGAAAGGGCTCTACTGCTCTGACTGAACAGATGAGAGGACAGAGACGAAAGTTGAAGACTTTGGCCAGAGAGTTCATTTGTAAGCATATTAAGACTCAGACTCCCTCAGAGCCCAGAGTTGCTTTATTGTGGGGTTTATCCTGCCTTTAAAGGACGTAGCATTTCACTCCCTGTGTTCAGGATAGAGAGGCTGTGGTAGGGACAAGTTTCCTTCTATTTAACATTCAAACAGATGAAGCCTGGCAAAAAAGTTGTCGCATCAGAAAGAGTATGACTAGTCTGGCCAATCAGGGAAGAAGTGCAGAGCTACAGACCGTAGTGTGCTCTCCCTTATCCACTTGGGCAGAGATAATACACAGTATTACATCAATAAGCTGGACAGGAATATAGCAAGTAAACTATCTAACCTCAGCTGTATTTGCAAGAAAATGTGTTTCATAACAGAATGAGTAAAGGATAGCCACAGAGTGGCAATTTTAAGTTTTAAACATTGTTGGCAGTACTGCCAGAAGTTCCAGTGTATAATTTGTTACAATACTGGTGACACTTACTGGTTTTGCTCTAACCACCATCTGAAGTCAGTGACTCATCAAAATGTAAAGTGAATATAAGGGTGTGTAAAAGTACCTGCAGACACCTCCTTCATTTAGTTAACACTTGAAAATAATTGTCCCCACCTTAACTCCCTGTACAATTAGACCAATTTTCTTGTCTCATAAGGCTAATAACAGACCCTGCTATTATAATTCCTGTTTCTTTATTCATTGGGAAGTGAAAGCCAAGATGACAGTTTGCATTAAAAACCACTTTTTGCTAAATCAGACCATTTATTGAAAGAATACAATCTATTATAAGGCTTAATTCAAAGGAGTTAGCATTTAATTCCTGTAACAAATGGTTGCAACTCTTGGGTAGAGAGGAAGGATCGAAAGTGTACGTAACCAATCTTTGCAAAAAGTTTGATGCATGGGGGCAAGAGGCAGGCTCTCTTTAGAGCACCCCACTTCTCTTCATAAGAAGATCAGAGGTACAATGGTTTGTGTTATTGCAACATCTGCATCTATTAAGTAATCGATTCTTTTTTCCATACATGTATGATTTTATTAAAAGGAAATTTATGGTTGACTTCCAAATTTGGCTGACAGTTTGCTGATAAGATTCATGACCTTGGGGTTGTTCTGGTACTTGGACATATTTGCTGGGTTCTGGGCAACATCTTGGAATGCAACCATAACTTCTGGATCCTGAAAAAAAACGAAGAACAAATATAGTTTTACTCTAATACACAAAGCCTTAAAACATTTAAAGTAAATTTAGCACTAGACTGACAGCTCTAGAAATTAAAGCCAAAGGTGGTGTGACTCCCAAATTCAATCTAGTTGTGTCTTGTACGAGACGCCTCTAAAACAAATCCAGGTGACAGGACGTAGAACTGGCAATTCTTTAGGTAGGCATTTGAGTCACTACTGATCTAATGCCACAACAAGGTGGGAGTCGCCATATTTTGGATAAGAAGAAACAGAGCCTGATGAAGATATTACAGACACCATGTCACTTGACATGGTAAAGATGCCAAGTTTGACAGTATTTGAATTTTTGTGACTATGTTCTGCCTAAATGTTTACCCTGCAGTTTTATTTAGGTACAAGAAATCTCTCATGTTCTTTGCTAAGTTCTTCAAGAATGCTATTTGACAAAATAAAACTCTAAGAAGTGGGAAAAGCAAAACTCTTCTGTACATGTTAAGATCAGAAATACCACACTTGTACTAAACAAACTGATTACACTTTTTGATTGACTCAAAGATGAATTTTTTGGCAAAAAAAATTTGACCTAAAAAATGTCTTCCAATATTACTCATGCATAGCCTGAAGCCTTTACTGAAGATCACATCAGTTCAGGTGAAGATTTGTTCCCAGATAGTGCTATAATTAAAATGAAAGACATCTGCATGGACCAGAGGCATTGTTAACATTTGTTTTGAATGTTTTAAGCTTGCCAATGATTTACTGGTTAGCATATTAGATTTCAAAACAGCCATGAAAAGCTGTTTTATTAGGTCAGTGTACTCAGGATACTAAGTATTTCACATTTGAAAGCCATCCAGATTAAAGCCCAATTTACTTGTTGATATTAAAAGAGAAGACAGACCCCTTTATACCTGCCCTATAGACTTGTCACACGCTCACTTTTGTTTCAGCCAAACCCATCATTTTCTTCAACAACTGCCAACAGACTTGCCCTAGGGCCAACTGGTGGACTGGTTTCTCCTCGGAACTCCATAGTTAAACAGGGTATGGAATGTTCTTAGCACCAGAAAAATTTAATTTAATATATGGTAATATGGAATTTGCCAAATCAGTTAATCCAGCCAAGTGTTCCACCTTTCAACACGATTTATCCTTACACATTCAAGAGACAACAAGCCTTTCCATTCATAGTAGTCAGATCTTAAGTGTAATGATAGTCCCCTACAAAAACATGCAAAGAAGAGGGAGAAAATAGCTCAAAAAAGCTAGAGCACCTGCTGTTCTGCACAATTTTTGTTTTGTCAAGAGTATCTTAGTACAGTGGAAGAATTAACCAACTGCACCAGGTAGACAAATAGTATATAGGTTTTTCCAGAGTGGTGTTACCCATGCTGTTCAACAGTGAGGGGCAACCTAAACTAGTGAGGGGTCTGCATGAGTGACCCTTTAGTTCAGTGGACCACAAGATTATTTAAGCAAGACAGTCTCTCGGGATAGCGTTTTTGCTAACTTTGCCTGAATACCTAGAATTTGCAGCATGTGCTGTTTGAACCACAGAAGCGTTTTGATTGGATGCAAAGGGAATGGATGGCTCTCACAATGTTGTGTGCAATCAACACTCAACTTACTTCACGTATCCTTGCTTTAATCAGGTATCAGTTTTGTAATACTAGTAGGAAAAAACCAATGTGGACAAAACCCGGCAGAATCTGACATCCCCGTGCATGGGCAATGGTAAACAAAATGTCTTGTGGATCACATATAAAACTCCAATGGGTCACATGCAGTCCTCAGGCCACAGGTTGCCCACTACTGCGTTAGAAAGTGGGTTTCACTAACTGCTTGCCATTTGTCCTAAGGGGAAAAAAGCCTCTCAACTTGAATAAGAGAAAAGATTTTTTTCCTCCCCTTGTAAGTGACAAGAGAACATATGTAGTGTTCTACTCTGCACGTTTATGTTGTAAGTCCTCACCTGCATGGCTGCAAGAACTTCTGGATCGCTAAGAATTTCATTGAGACCGGGCATCCCTGCCATGCCTGGCATACCTCCAGGCATTCCTCCAGGAAACCCACCTACACACAGAAAAGAAAATACACAAAGGAAAAACTTCAGTCATTTATATATAATCGCATAGCCTAAGACAGACCCTGTCTCTTACTAGTCCCAGCCAGAAAGCTGAACAAGTGTTCCACAAGGCTACTGGTATTCCATCAGCTAGAGATTAGGGACTTGATAAAAAAATATGCATCTCACTTCATCCATATTTTTGGAATCTTAGGCAATAGAAGGCTCATAAAGGCTGCAGTTATTTTGGGTTAACTCACTAAACCAGGTGAACCCTATCAGCTCAAACCCAGTAACATAAAAAAAGGTTTAAGTGTCTGAGTCAGAAGTAACATGGGATAGGAAGTCAGAGAGGCATCTCATGAATAAAGCACTCAGGCCAAATATACACTGGTAAAATAACTGCACGTTAAATCAGCTCCCAGAGCTGTAGCTTTCAAGGTGTCCATATTCACAAAGCGCTTAGTATGCACTAACTCCATAGTTACTGCACTCTAGGTAAATCACCTCAACAAGAAGCATAGATCACAAAGCGCTTAGTATGCACTAGCTCCATAGTTACTGCACTCTAGGTAAACCACCTCAACAAGAAGCATAGAGCTAGCCGTACTCTGGATACAGCATTAGGGTGCCAGTGTGGACACCGTGGTATAGTACTGCATTGTGACTGGCCTCCAGCACCCTTCCCATAATTCCTTCTCTGGCCTCTCCGGTCATCTTATTCAACTGTACTGCCCTACTCTCAGGAGACCTACCTAGACCTGCCCTTTGCGTTCTTTTTTAAAATCCCCTTCCTGTTTTCTTGGTGATGCGTGGTGTGTTCTCAGTGCATTTTTCCAGATGGTCATGACTGCTCCACACACCAGGAGATCCCCATCTTGGAGCCATGCTGAGGTGATGGACTTCATCAGTTTTTGGGGAGAGGAGGTAGTTCAGGTGCAGCTGCACCCCAGCCATAGGAATTATGATAGCTACAGGCATGACTGAAAGTGGCCAAGTGGCCATGACCAGGACACACTGCAGTGCAGGGTCAAAGTAAAGGAGCTGTGAAATGTCCACCACAAGGTGCGGGAAGCAAACTACTGCTCTGGTGCTGTGCTCACAACCTGTCAATTCTACAAACTGCTATGACATACTTGGGGGCGGCACCCCAACTCTGCTCCAAAGGTCTCCATGGATATTTCAGGGGCCATCTAAGAGTGAACCAAGCGAGGAGGAGGACATTGTAGACAAGTGTACACACTTAGCTAGCTAAGCAATACCTCATTTTAAATAGTCTTCTCATGCACAACTCACTTCAACCAAACAATCTTTACTTTTCAGATCTGAATCCCCTCACATTTATTTCTACACTCAGTAGAAGATAGGAAGAGGCCTTTTCCTCTTCACCACCTGGCCCAAACTACAGCCTTGCAAACTTTTACAAGTTCCTGTTCTTACAGCCTTTTCTTTCACTGAAGAAGTAGTGAGAATGAATGCTATGATCCTGCTTCACATGGAGAAACATGTCATCTTCTTCTGTGCTTGATTATGATTACCAAAAAATAAGGTACCTGGAAAGCCACCAAACTGAGCTCCTCCTGCCTGTTGCCGGGATTCTTCCTCCTGCAAATGAAAGCACATCATAAGAACGGCCATACTGGATCATATAAAAGGCCCAGATAGCCCAGTATCCTGTCTTCTGACATGACAGGTACCCCACAGGGATTCAACAGAACAGGTAATCCTGAAGTGATCCCATCCCCTGTCACCAATTCCCAGCTTCTGAAAAACAGCGGCTAGAGATACCATTCCTTCAAGGGATATAAAATCCCATTTAATTAATTAAATGATTAAACATTAAGTTTAACACTCCGATTAAACATGGGCAGATGATGGGGCCAGCAGAGCCACTGCCACTTCTGGAGCCGCTTCACATGGGGTGGTCACTTCCAGGGCGAGGCAGGACAACTGGCGGGGCTGAAGCAATCCTCCGGGAAGTGGTTAGTCAGTAAAGTTACCCAGTAAAGCATCACCCATACTCGTTAATATCCCTAATTCCTACCCATCCTGGCTAAATCACTGAAAGACCGATCCTCGATGAATGTATCTGGTTTTTGAACCCCGATAAAGTCCTGATCTTCACAACATCCTCTGGCGAGGAGTTCCATAGGTTGACTCTGTGTTGTGTAAAGTAGTACTTCCTTTTGTTTTAAACCTGCCACCTATTAATTTCATTTGATGACCTCTAGTTCTTGTGTTGTGAGAACAAGTAAATACTTTTCCCTTATTTACTTTCACCACACAGTCATGATTTTATAGACTTCTATCATATCCCTGCTTAGTGTCCTTTTTTCTAAGCTGAAAAGTCCCAGTTTTATTAACCTCTCCTCAGGGCAGTTATTCCAAACCTCTTATCATTTTTGTTGCCCTTATGTGCATGAAGTATTCAAGATGTTGGTGTATCACGGACTCATACAGAAGCATTAAGATATTTGGCTATTTTCTATCCCTTTAATGATTCCTAACATTCTGTTTGCTATTTTTGACTGCTGCTGAACATTGAGTGGATGTTTTCAGAGAACTATCCACAATAACCTCAAGATCTCTTAAGTGGTAATACCTAATTTAGTCCTCATGATTTTGTACATAGTTGGGTTATATTTTCCAATATGCATTACATAGCATTTATCAACAACATTAAAATTCGTCTGCCATTTTGTTGCCTAATCACCTCATTTTGTGAGATTCTTTGAAGCTCTTCATAGTCTACTTCAGACATAATTATCTTGAGCAGTTTAATATCATCGGTAAATTTTGCCACCTCACTATTTACCCCATCCTCCAGATCATTTATGAATATGTTGAATAGGACTAGTCCCCGGACAGAAACCTGCGGGACACCACTAGTTACCACTCTCCATTCTGAAAAATGACCATTTATTCCTACCCTTTATTTCCTTATCTTTTAACCAGTTATCAATCCATGCCCAGGTAGTGGCCCATGGTCACTGCGTGGAGAAATCCCTGTGATATTATACTTTGTATTAAGATCTTGTCCTTTTAGATATATCTGTAAGTGTTTTTCTAGAATCTCTGTAACATTTCTCCTATAACTTTGTATTAAGATATATAGATCTTGTAAGAAAAAATGCCTTTTGAGCTCTCCCCTTTCCTTGATTGCCCTGTTGAAATGAATGAGGTATGAATGGAGAATGAAAGGGGAGCACCTCCAGCAGCAGTTGCAAGGGTGGAGAAGGTCTGGGAGCCAGATCTAAGACAATACCTGCAAAGTGAGTTCATTAAGAAGAGGCCTTGGGAGTCAAGCAGCAAGTGCCTGCCCTGCATGGGCAATGGTAAACAAAATGTCTTGTGGATCACATATAAAACCCCAATGGGTCACATGCAGTCCTCAGGCCACAGGTTGCCCACTACTGCGTTAGAAAGTGGGTTTCACTAACTGCTTGCCATTTGTCCTAAGGGGAAAAAAGCCTCTCAACTTGAATAAGAGAAAGATTTTTTTCCTCCCCTTGTAAGTGACAAGAGAACATATGTAGTGTTCTACTCTGCACGTTTATGTTGTAAGTCCTCACCTGCATGGCTGCAAGAACTTCTGGATCGCTAAGAATTTCATTGAGACCGGGCATCCCTGCCATGCCTGGCATACCTCCAGGCATTCCTCCAGGAAACCCACCTACACACAGAAAAGAAAATACACAAAGGAAAAACTTCAGTCATTTATATATAATCGCATAGCCTAAGACAGACCCTGTCTCTTACTAGTCCCAGCCAGAAAGCTGAACAAGTGTTCCACAAGGCTACTGGTATTCCATCAGCTAGAGATTAGGGACTTGATAAAAAAATATGCATCTCACTTCATCCATATTTTTGGAATCTTAGGCAATAGAAGGCTCATAAAGGCTGCAGTTATTTTGGGTTAACTCACCAAACCAGGTGAACCCTATCAGCTCAAACCCAGTAACATAAAAAAAGGTTTAAGTATCTGAGTCAGAAGTAACATGGGATAGGAAGTCAGAGAGGCATCTCATGAATAAAGCACTCAGGCCAAATATACACTGGTAAAATAACTGCACGTTAAATCAGCTCCCAGAGCTGTAGCTTTCAAGGTGTCCATATTCACAAAGCGCTTAGTATGCACTAGCTCCATAGTTACTGCACTCTAGGTAAACCACCTCAACAAGAAGCATAGAGCTAGCCGTACTCTGGATACAGCATTAGGGTGCCAGTGTGGACACCGTGGTATAGTACTGCATTGTGACTGGCCTCCAGCACCCTTCCCATAATTCCTTCTCTGGCCTCTCCGGTCATCTTATTCAACTGTACTGCCCTACTCTCAGGAGACCTACCTAGACCTGCCCTTTGCGTTCTTTTTTAAAATCCCCTTCCTGTTTTCTTGGTGATGCGTGGTGTGTTCTCAGTGCATTTTTCCAGATGGTCATGACTGCTCCACACACCAGGAGATCCCCATCTTGGAGCCATGCTGAGGTGATGGACTTCATCAGTTTTTGGGGAGAGGAGGTAGTTCAGGTGCAGCTGCACCCCAGCCATAGGAATTATGATAGCTACAGGCATGACTGAAAGTGGCCAAGTGGTCATGACCAGGACACACTGCAGTGCAGGGTCAAAGTAAAGGAGCTGTGAAATGTCCACCACAAGGTGCGGGAAGCAAACTACTGCTCTGGTGCTGTGCTCACAACCTGTCAATTCTACAAACTGCTATGACATACTTGGGGGCGGCACCCCAACTCTGCTCCAAAGGTCTCCATGGATATTTCAGGGGCCATCTAAGAGTGAACCAAGCGAGGAGGAGGACATTGTAGACAAGTGTACACACTTAGCTAGCTAAGCAATACCTCATTTTAAATAGTCTTCTCATGCACAACTCACTTCAACCAAACAATCTTTACTTTTCAGATCTGAATCCCCTCACATTTATTTCTACACTCAGTAGAAGATAGGAAGAGGCCTTTTCCTCTTCACCACCTGGCCCAAACTACAGCCTTGCAAACTTTTACAAGTTCCTGTTCTTACAGCCTTTTCTTTCACTGAAGGAGTAGTGAGAATGAATGCTATGATCCTGCGTCACATGGAGAAACATGTCATCTTCTTCTGTGCTTGATTATGATTACCAAAAAATAAGGTACCTGGAAAGCCACCAAACTGAGCTCCTCCTGCCTGTTGCCGGGATTCTTCCTCCTGCAAATGAAAGCACATCATAAGAACGGCCATACTGGATCATATCAAAGGCCCAGATAGCCCAGTATTCTGTCTTCTGACATGACAGGTACCCCACAGGGATTCAACAGAACAGGTAATCCTGAAGTGATCCCATCCCCTGTCACCAATTCCCAGCTTCTGAAAAACAGCGGCTAGAGATACCATTCCTTCAAGGGATATAAAATCCCATTTAATTAATTAAATGATTAAACATTAAGTTTAACACTCCGATTAAACATGGGCAGATGATGGGGCCAGCAGAGCCACTGCCACTTCTGGAGCCGCTTCACATGGGGTGGTCACTTCCAGGGCGAGGCAGGACAACTGGCGGGGCTGAAGCAATCCTCCGGGAAGTGGTTAGTCAGTAAAGTTACCCAGTAAAGCATCACCCATACTCGTTAATATCCCTAATTCCTACCCATCCTGGCTAAATCACTGAAAGACCGATCCTCGATGAATGTATCTGGTTTTTGAACCCCGATAAAGTCCTGATCTTCACAACATCCTCTGGCGAGGAGTTCCATAGGTTGACTCTGTGTTGTGTAAAGTAGTACTTCCTTTTGTTTTAAACCTGCCACCTATTAATTTCATTTGATGACCTCTAGTTCTTGTGTTGTGAGAACAAGTAAATACTTTTCCCTTATTTACTTTCACCACACAGTCATGATTTTATAGACTTCTATCATATCCCTGCTTAGTGTCCTTTTTTCTAAGCTGAAAAGTCCCAGTTTTATTAACCTCTCCTCAGGGCAGTTATTCCAAACCTCTTATCATTTTTGTTGCCCTTATGTGCATGAAGTATTCAAGATGTTGGTGTATCATGGACTCATACAGAAGCATTAAGATATTTGGCTATTTTCTATCCCTTTAATGATTCCTAACATTCTGTTTGCTATTTTTGACTGCTGCTGAACATTGAGTGGATGTTTTCAGAGAACTATCCACAATAACCTCAAGATCTCTTAAGTGGTAATACCTAATTTAGTCCTCGTGATTTTGTACATAGTTGGGTTATATTTTCCAATATGCATTACATAGCATTTATCAACAACATTAAAATTCGTCTGCCATTTTGTTGCCTAATCACCTCATTTTGTGAGATTCTTTGAAGCTCTTCATAGTCTACTTCAGACATAATTATCTTGAGCAGTTTAATATCATCGGTAAATTTTGCCACCTCACTATTTACCCCATCCTCCAGATCATTTATGAATATGTTGAATAGGACTAGTCCCCGGACAGAAACCTGCGGGACACCACTAGTTACCACTCTCCATTCTGAAAAATGACCATTTATTCCTACCCTTTATTTCCTTATCTTTTAACCAGTTATCAATCCATGCCCAGGTAGTGGCCCATGGTCACTGCGTGGAGAAATCCCTGTGATATTACACTTTGTATTAAGATCTTGTCCTTTTAGATATATCTGTAAGTGTTTTTCTAGAATCTCTGTAACATTTCTCCTATAACTTTGTATTAAGATATATAGATCTTGTAAGAAAAAATGCCTTTTGAGCTCTCCCCTTTCCTTGATTGCCCTGTTGAAATGAATGAGGTATGAATGGAGAATGAAAGGGGAGCACCTCCAGCAGCAGTTGCAAGGGTGGAGAAGGTCTGGGAACCAGACCCAAGACAATACCTGCAAAGTGAGCTCACTAATAAGACTGGACATACAGACGCCTTGGGAGTCAAGCAGCAAGTGCCTGCCCTCGGAAGAACTCTCTTTGAAGCAGCATTAGGAAAGGCGAGGCGATGACTAATTGGCTGCATGAGAGGGATAAATAGGAGGCATCTTGCAGAGGGACCCCAGGTTTTCATCTTGTCAACATGGGAGCATCGATCCGGATCGGCAGAAGCCTGGCTCCACCCCCTCCCCTATCTAACTCACCAGGCCAGTGCAGTTAGGGGGAGCAACTTTTGGTAACAACAAGATGGAGTGTGCTTGTGTGTGTGTGTGAGTGCGATGTATCATATGTATATGATAAGTATTGATTATTCTATGTGTGATCAATAAATGTGGCGTGTTGCCTCATCCCCCTGAAAAAGATCCCGAGCACAACAACTGGTGCTGAAGGTAGTGGTAGTGGCAGGACTTGGCAGGCTCCCTACCAGACTCCTCAGAAGAGGGGACATGTCCCTCCCTCAACTCCTAGCTCAGCTTCACACATTACCTCACCCCAAGTATTGGCTCTGCAGCTCCCATTAGCACGGAACAGAGCTTGGAACTGAGGAAAGGGAATATCACCAATTCTGGGGAGACCCCAGAGACCCCTCCAAGGTAAGCACCACCCAGAGCTCTCACCCCCCTCCCACATATCAAGCTCAGCCCCCTCACACAGCCAAACTTCTGCTGCTGCTGCTGGGGGAGGGAGGTACGGTGACCCAAGACTACCCCAGCAGCAGTTGGTGTAGCCCAAGGTGCTCAAGTGGCCTGAGGCAGCTGCAACAGAAGTCAAAGAGGTCCCGGAAAGCCATGGAATCTGTGGTTTCCATGACAAACTCATAGTCTCAGTGATTAGGGATGTAAAATCCCATTTATTCAGTTAACTGGTTAAACATTATGCTTAAATTGCTTAAACAGGAGGTGAGCTGGAGTGTCCCCTGTCCCCAGTGTGGCAAGCTGCCCCAGCCGTGTTGGAGTGCCTGTTGTGGGCATGGACTGCTCCGGCCCAAGGTTAAGCCAGTTAACCATTCACATCCCTATTAGTGAAGGCCATCTAAGTACTGACAAACGACACAGTTGGGAAGAAAACCAGATGGTGAGGTAGAGAGGAGGGTACATGAGAAACTAGAAAAAAAAAAAGGAAAGGGGGAGTGGGGGAAAATCAGAATCATGTTCAGCAAAAACCTTTGTGCTGAGATCCAACTTACTGCAGCTGAGCTGGGAATACAGGCATTTCATATGCTTGAAGTTACTGTTATAACTAACTAGACTTTTAAAGAAAACCGTTGCAGTTGTGTGGCCAGAAAGGAAGTAAAACGGGTAACTGAGTATTCCAGATTCAACAGAGCTCAGGATCCACCACCTGTTTCATCACCTCAGTCAAGTAACCAAGATACACAGCACCAAGGGGACCTGGTCCATGAGTAAGATTCCTAGAAGCTATTGTAAAACAAACTATAATTCCGTTTAAAAAATATAATTGGAAGGGGTTGCATATAATAGAAAGATTAAACCTCTCACAATTCCTAAGATTATGGAGCACATTTTAGAAAAGGGCTCTGTATGACAAGCTCACCCTCTGTGCTCTCTCATGTTCCTCTCGGGCTTTCTTCACCCTCTCCAGCCTTTCCTTGATTTCTTTTTCTTCACGCTTGCGCTCATACTTCCTGCGATGTTCAACAATCTTCTGAGCCTGAGGCAGGAAGAATCAGTGAATAATCTTGTGCATTGTTTTCCTTTGATACACTACATAAATTTAACCACTGAGCTAGTTTCAATGAGTTTTCAAAAGAAGTGTTGGTGACTTCATCAAATAGCATTACCTGACTCTAGAGATTAGAAAAGCTTAAAAAACAACTAATAGTTAGTCTCTAAGGTGCTGTTAGACATCATGTAGCTGGTGGTATGAGCTTTGGTGGGCACAACCCACTTCTTCAGTATGACTGGAGTATTAAAAGTCCAGATCCAAGAATAAATAAGGGAAGGCGAGTTACAGACTAACCTGGCTACCTCTCTGAAGCTTTAGAGATTAGGTTTACCACAAATCCCTCCCAAATGTGTCAGTGATATTGGGGTCAAACAACATGATTGGTCCCTTAGTCAAAATATGCACTTCCCCAACATACCCCCTTTTCCACATGAAGCTCTGGGATTTACCATTCCCCCAATCCTATCATCCACATCATAGAACTACACAACCCCATACCTTTGGCAAGAACAGGCAGAGAAAAGCCTGGCCTTTTCCACAGATATTCAATATTATCTGTCTGCCATTCAAACAGATAGAAATGTTCTTTATACTGTTCTTGTGGAAGCTGTTGCTTTCAAAACCACCATGGTTGTGTACGCAAAATCTAATGATTAGGGCAAAAAGTCACTTTCCGATTCTACTTTGGGCTTTCTGTCTTCTAATGTAAAACACTTACATTCAAGTTCCTTGTTAAACCAGAGCATTCCTGATTGGATGTATGGAAAAAGTGGAAATGAAGTTGCTTCTCACAAGTGACTTGCTCTTCAAATGTATTGCCTCTACCAAGATTAGCTAGCAATGATCTCCTTAAGGATAGGAGGCAAGTGAGGAGGCTACAGGTGGAACAGTAATTGAAGCATTGCTCCCCTGAAACCAGGTTCTGCTGTCCATAAGATGTGAACTATTTTCCCAGCACTACATCACTGAACCCACCTTTCCCTCACTCTCCAAGCAGCAGCAGTGCCCAGAGTCCCCAAATTTAGTCATGGGTGCAAAGCAGCAGCAGCGCCCAGAGTCCCCAAATTTAGTCATGGGTATTTTTAGTACAAGCCACGGGCTGTGAATTGTTATTTATTGCCCATGACTTAATAAAAATACCCATGACTAAATTGTAGCCTTCATCATAACCATGTTGCTTGTAGGAATTCACAGCTTGTAGGAATTCACAACAGTTACTGTAACAGAGTGGAACTCCCCTTTTGCGGCCAAGTGCATTTGCTTGCACTGCCTCTTTAAAAGCCTTTTGGCTACTCAGCCCTCCAGCTGAGTCACATTACTGTAGGATACTCAAATCCCTTCCAGGATACACACCTAACAGGGGCTCATCCCAGTGCCCTCTGCTGAGGTGTCCAATATTGTCTCAGTTTCCCCTCAGTCTCTTTCCCCACTTAGAGTGTGGCACTTTCAGGGCTTCTCCTCCAGAAGGCAACTTGCTTGGTTAGCCTGGTAGTCTGCTCACCTCGAGCTCTGCCCCACACTGACTGCTGGTGAGCTTTGCAGCTCTTTTTGTTAGCCTCCCTGGCACCTGATAGGCCAGTTCCTCTAAAAAAGGAGAGGGGGAATCTTAGGCCCAAGGGCTGGATGCGGCCCTCAGCTTGTCTGGATCTGGCCCCCAACCCTCAGGGCCCCTTCAGCATTGTGGGGCTGGAGCACAGAAAATCTACTAACCTGGGCTCCCCAAGGCTCTGGTGAGGGAGGGGAATATGGGAAGTGTCTTTCTGCTTCTCACTTGTATGTTGTGTAACTCTGTGGGTTAGTGGCCTCTGAACCAAAAAAGGTTACCTACCTGTGCTTTAAAGCCTCTCTAGCCTCTTGGAGGACTTGTCTAAGGCTCTTTCTGGGCCAGGGCCTTGTCCACCCTGTCACAATTACCCTTCAAACTCTGGAATAACAGATTTATGAAAGAGTCTGATGACTCCCAATTTGAGGAAGGGTCTGGGGAGTTTCAATCCTGAAGCTTTCACACGCTATCTTAAGTCTGAGGAGTGCTTTCAAGATCAATATGGAGATAAGATAATCATCTGATTAATCATCCAATTAAACACTTGAAGATACCCTTGGGCAATATTTGCCCACAGCAGAGTACTGGACCTTCTAAAGTACAAACACTCATATCCAGCTGTGAATGCTTGGTTTGTACACTATTCAGCCACTGTTGCAAGGGTTGAGAAGCTGAAGCCTTGTAGAGCTGGCGAAAAAAGTGCATCAGTTTCAACACTCAATTTCTAATCTAGACTTTGCTACCTCCTCTATCTGGATGAGTTTTTGGACCATTTCTCTAGACAGTGAAGCTAGAGACCAAGAAGAATCTAAGAGGGTCATCTATGAAGACCAGCCCCAGAGCTGGAGCAGCAAGATACAGCAGAGTAATTATTGTCTTGCAGGAAATCTCTCAGCATACAGTTACAGGGTGTCCCTGTTATACATCACCCAGATAAACACTGGTTCCACACTAACATCATTGACGCTTGCAGGAATGGTTGTGTTTTAAGTCCTCCCATTCCCTGCTCTTATGCTGCACACAAAAAAAAGACCAATTTGTGCAAACGGAAGTTAGCCGCAGGAAAAAAAAATCTCTGCTTTATGTCATTTCACTATACATCCATGTATTCTGGATGTACAGTGAGGACACCCTGTATTTAGATAGGGATACACCTAAGGCACTCCCCCTCTCCCCATATAGATTAATTGTGACCAATGCACGGCATTTGGTGAATACCTAAGGGGTGCTGCCAGTCCAAAGAGTTGAACCTTATTTTAATTGTTGTCAAGTACAAACCTAAGATACTTCCTGTGCTTTTGCCTTATCAAGGCATGGACGTAGAAGTTTTCAGAGCTACGGTCCCATACCATTTCTGAAGATTAAGAGGATTATGCTTTCCAGAAGAGCCAGGTAGAATTTTGTTTTCCTGGGGTAATTTCTTCAATTTGCAGAAGTCTTGAACAGAGCCTTTCCCAAGAGGACTACCAAAACCTCCTTTTGCAGCAGTTTGAGAAGGATGTATGAAAAAGTAACGTGGTATGGCTTATGACTAGACAGAATACCTGTTCTATGGCCCCCTTTTCCACATGAAGCTCTGGGATTTACCATTCCCCCAATCCTATCATCCACATCATAGAACTACACAACCCCATACCTTTGGCAAGAACAGGCAGAGAAAAGCCTGGCCTTTTCCACAGATATTCAATATTATCTGTCTGCCATTCAAACAGATAGAAATGTTCTTTATACTGTTCTTGTGGAAGCTGTTGCTTTCAAAACCACCATGGTTGTGTACGCAAAATCTAATGATTAGGGCAAAAAGTCACTTTCCGATTCTACTTTGGGCTTTCTGTCTTCTAATGTAAAACACTTACATTCAAGTTCCTTGTTAAACCAGAGCATTCCTGATTGGATGTATGGAAAAAGTGGAAATGAAGTTGCTTCTCACAAGTGACTTGCTCTTCAAATGTATTGCCTCTACCAAGATTAGCTAGCAATGATCTCCTTAAGGATAGGAGGCAAGTGAGGAGGCTACAGGTGGAACAGTAATTGAAGCATTGCTCCCCTGAAACCAGGTTCTGCTGTCCATAAGATGTGAACTATTTTCCCAGCACTACATCACTGAACCCACCTTTCCCTCACTCTCCAAGCAGCAGCAGTGCCCAGAGTCCCCAAATTTAGTCATGGGTATTTTTAGTACAAGCCACGGGCTGTGAATTGTTATTTATTGCCCATGACTTAATAAAAATACCCATGACTAAATTGTAGCCTTCATCATAACCATGTTGCTTGTAGGAATTCACAGCTTGTAGGAATTCACAACAGTTACTGTAACAGAGTGGAACTCCCCTTTTGCGGCCAAGTGCATTTGCTTGCACTGCCTCTTTAAAAGCCTTTTGGCTACTCAGCCCTCCAGCTGAGTCACATTACTGTAGGATACTCAAATCCCTTCCAGGATACACACCTAACAGGGGCTCATCCCAGTGCCCTCTGCTGAGGTGTCCAATATCTGTCTCAGTTTTCCCTCAGTCTCTTTCCCCACTTAGAGTGTGGCACTTTCAGGGCTTCTCCTCCAGAAGGCAACTTGCTTGGTTAGCCTGGTAGTCTGCTCACCTCGAGCTCTGCCCCACACTGACTGCTGGTGAGCTTTGCAGCTCTTTTTGTTAGCCTCCCTGGCACCTGATAGGCCAGTTCCTCTAAAAAAGGAGAGGGGGAATCTTAGGCCCAAGGGCTGGATGCGGCCCTCAGCTTGTCTGGATCTGGCCCCCAACCCTCAGGGCCCCTTCAGCATTGTGGGGCTGGAGCACAGAAAATCTACTAACCTGGGCTCCCCAAGGCTCTGGTGAGGGAGGGGAATATGGGAAGTGTCTTTCTGCTTCTCACTTGTATGTTGTGTAACTCTGTGGGTTAGTGGCCTCTGAACCAAAAAAGGTTACCTACTTGTGCTTTAAAGCCTCTCTAGCCTCTTGGAGGACTTGTCTAAGGCTCTTTCTGGGCCAGGGCCTTGTCCACCCTGTCACAATTACCCTTCAAACTCTGGAATAACAGATTTATGAAAGAGTCTGATGACTCCCAATTTGAGGAAGGGTCTGGGGAGTTTCAATCCTGAAGCTTTCACACGCTATCTTAAGTCTGAGGAGTGCTTTCAAGATCAATATGGAGATAAGATAATCATCTGATTAATCATCCAATTAAACACTTGAAGATACCCTTGGGCAATATTTGCCCACAGCAGAGTACTGGACCTTCTAAAGTACAAACACTCATATCCAGCTGTGAATGCTTGGTTTGTACGCTATTCAGCCACTGTTGCAAGGGTTGAGAAGCTGAAGCCTTGTAGAGCTGGCGAAAAAAGTGCATCAGTTTCAACACTCAATTTCTAATCTAGACTTTGCTACCTCCTCTATCTGGATGAGTTTTTGGACCATTTCTCTAGACAGTGAAGCTAGAGACCAAGAAG